CCCAGGGGGGGGGATTGGGAGGTCAGCTGACCCACAGTTGTTTTCCCAGTTAAATGTGGCCCCTCGAAATGGCAAACTATATAAACATTTTTTTATTTGAAAAAATTATGTACAGTGGTGAATTTAGAGGAGAGGCACGTGCCCCTTGTCAATTTTCTGTCGACAAGTTGTTATGTAACTATGAGTATCATATAAATGAAACATTCAGTTGATAAGGATAATACTACCAACTATTAATTATTACTTATTATAATCATTATTGATAGTATGTATGTATTATTAATTAAAATTAAAATTATACAATTTATATGTGCCCCCCTCCCCCTTCAAAATATCGAAGATCTGCTATTATGATATAGGGGTATATCGTATAATATACAGCTGTGAAGACTGAGTATTGAAGTAAAATAACGCGTACGAAATCGTGTTTAAGCTTATCAACTTATAATGTACGTACCTAAAATTCGATAAACACAAGTATAAAAATATGTTGGATATAGATATTATATAAGATTTTATGAAGTTAACATAGATGAAATTGATATAGAAGTGGAATACCGTTCATTACATCTAGTTTACCAACAAATGGCAAAACTATTGAAACTGGAGTAACTGGAACTTTAAAATTAAATGATGTATTGAAAATTCATGATATCATGAGACATGGTTTCTTCATATCCAAATTTATATACTTTGTATAAAATTTTTTATACACTACCAGTCAGCAGTGCAACTGCAGAAAGAAGTTTTAGCGTTCTAAAACTTCTCAAAACATGCCTTAGCTCAACTATGACTGAAGACAGGCTATCAAATTTGGCCATATTGAGCATAGAAAGCAACATACCTCAAACCATTGATTTTGTTAACGTAATAATTCGCACTAATGAAAAAGCGCAGAAAATGATTGTCATGTTTTAGTTCTTTACTATTATTTTCATGTAGGTATTATTAAATATAAATTTTATTAATGTATTATTTTTGACTTTTCTATTGTATTAGAATTTAGAACCAATTATTCTATATCTCTTGTGAAAATGAAATCAGTCATTGAAAACTAAAATAAAATAAATATACTGCAAATATACGTATACAAATAAAATAATAAATTTGTATAATTTCTTCTAATGATTTAAAAATGTCAGGCAAATTTTTTAATTGAATATAAATTTTAATGCAACAAATAAAAATAAAAATAAATTAAATATAGCTATTAAAGCTTGTAAGTAAATTTTACAATTTACTTAAAAATATGTGATATAGTTATATTGAACGTTGGTATCAAAATGTGATGTAAATAACTAATAAGGTAAATCGCGAGCCCAGAGTGACTTTGTAATACCTAACTATATAGGTAGTTGGTTGAAGTTTCTACACAGTGGCCTCTCGTAAGCAAGGCAGACCCACAGTTCTAAAATCCTGGGTACGCCACTGGTAATAGAAATATACAAAAGTAACTACTGTCTACTTGTTCGTGTGAATAATATTATGGATACACTCAAAACAAACACATTTTCGTAATATAAAATATTGCACATTGCACATGTAGGTATACGGGATGTGGGATTTAATGTGTATGGGTATATGGGTACCTACACTATAATATTTCGTTGATAATTATATAATGTTTAAACATTATAACATTTTACATATTATTACGTTTAGTATATTTACAATATTCGACAACAATATAATGTAGGTAAGTACTAGTTTGCTGTTTTCGGATTTCGTGTTCGACGATCAATTTGTGTCTACCAAAGTCATAGGTAGCTGATGCTTAAATAAACCCACGTTAGCGACAATCGTACGTTTACTGTAGAACCTAAAATGAGTCTAATGGTTGCAACAGCTTTTTAATTACTTTTCGGTAATTTATGTATGTGTATACAATGGTCATATGGGTACTTCACAAATACAAAATTATGTAACCGACGTTGTTCATCTGATATCAATATGGGTTATTTACAAACCCAGCTGATATGTAATGTCCTAGGCCCTAGCCTCTAAACGCTTTGAGATTTTAATGTATTTTTTAATAATAAAATAAAGTCGCCTTAATGAGTTATGATGATATTGATACCTATAAATAAATCGATAGGAAATAAATAAATTGTAATTGATTTTTTTCACCAATTTATTTCAATTTAATTTGTGCAGTATTTAGGTATTACCTATTATAACCATGTGGAATGTTTAAAATTTTATTTTAGTATTGATTATGGTATCTGATAACTTAATGGTCTACATAATTATATGCAGTTTTTTAATCGTATTAATTTATAAACAGTTGTCATTTGAATTATATCGATTAGGTATACGTGAGATTACTGAGATTTATATATAATCATGATAGTTTGAAAATATACCTATTTTGGTTTTTGATTTATCTTGATTTCAGTAAATTATACGTTAATATTATTTACTAGCATAATAATCAGTAAACTGATATAATATACCTACCTTACAATTTAACCGAATAATAAGTCAATTATATAGTAATTTGAATATATTTTAACTATTTTATGTTAGATAGGTACAATTGGAGTATTGTCAGCAGATTTTTATGTTTTGATTGACAGCTAGTTTATTCTGGAGGCCTGGTAAAATATTCAAATTCATGAAACTAGTTACGTAAACATTTTTTTTATTTTTTTTTTCATTACCTTCTACTGTCACGAGCAGAATTATTAATAGGTTTCAAAATGTGAATGTTTTTAAAAGAAGAATATTGTCTATTATATTTAGAATTCAGATGATTCAGTAAGCAATATAATAATTAAATATATTTTTTTGAATTATTTACAAATTAATATAAATTAATTCCAAAAAACAGTACCTAATATAAATATATTTTTTTTCAAAAGCGATTGAAGTAGGCCTAATTACATTATTTTAAAGAGTTATGACGAATTTAATATTAATGTTTACTTTCTTACATTATTTATACGCTAAGTAATAATTAATTTAATGTTTTAAGACTATTGTGCTAAAAAAGTTTGATGTTACTAATATTTATTCAGCACTCTTTTTAAATATTCAGTCATAAATTATTTTGACGAGCACTATATATTTAGTGAATAAATATAGATTAATTTAATATTTATATAATTAATCATTATTGATTTTATAGATAAACAATGATACATGTGGAAAATAATATAATAATATTATGACATAGTATGAAATGTAAATGTTGTAGTCTAGACTCTAGAGTAGGTACAAAGGAGATAAAAAAAATCTATAAAATTATTATATCATATGATTTACGTTCTATTATTATAATTATTTCGTAGGATATCAGTGCACTATTTGTTTTTTGTCTCTGACTCACGCATATAATTTTTTTTTGGTCAGACTGCCATCGAAAAATTAATAGTGCGCTTGTATCCTCTTAATATCAATTAATTATTGTATTAAGACATTTAAAACAAGTAGGTCATCTGTTAATTACCGAGATTTTGCCAATATTCATACAAATATATTTGATTGTGTAATTTTTTTATTTGATATAAATTGTAAAACGATGACATAGATAATGTATAAAATGTATTTGTTACTAATTTGTAAATGTGACCCCAATATTATATGTGATGGTCGTATTAAAAATATGTGTAGATACGCTTCTAAAGTAGAAAGGATATTATAAAGGAATGCTAAATTATTCTGGTTGCCTATCTAGTGTAAACAAACAAACATTGATCATATCATTTGTAAAATGTTTCTGCTTTGGAGCACGTACACAAAGGTGTTTTACCTAAATTCCTAAATCGTTTGTTTGCCTTTATAATAATAATAATAATAATAATATAGGTACTGTTATACTTATACTCGTAGTATAAGACAACTTCCATTTTGCAAATGAAACAAAAGTGGATCCTAAAGTAAACAAATTATAGTGGGGCTTAAAGGAACATAAAATATCTGATATTCTTTTATAATAAAAAATATGTTAACACTATTATTTTGTAATAGACATGATGTATATTTAATACACGAGTTCTTGTGTATAAAGACAAAATTCAATTAATTTTACTTTGGATAAATTAAGATGACTAAGTAATTAAAGTGTGATTTTAGTAAATGGTAGGTACCTACCTATAATATAAATGCAGTAATTTGCTGAATGCGCTAAATAATGTTTGCAGGGTTAAATAATTATGAATATAATTTCTAATTAACAACGAAAATTATACTGTTTTATGGTTTGAAAAGCATAAAACTACTTGCATCAACAATTAATTAAATTATAATTTTAATTATAGAATGTTTTAATTTGTTTTGTGCAATTACAAGCTCTCTTTGTTTGATGAAAACTAAGATTATTGGTACCTACATTTATTACGTTTTGTATTTGGTATAATATATTTATTGACATACAAGTTAAGGTAATAAAAACTTAAAAGTTGTAAAGTTATAGTTATACCTTAAGGTTTAATTATAAGAATATCTATAATACATATTATACCATATACCTACCTATATAGCGTATATATAATATATTATGTATATTGTTATTTATCCTCTCTGCCTCACAGTTGTTACAAATTGTTTACAGTTTGATGTAAACTAATAAATAATATACAATATACATAATTATATAATTTTAATAACCCACAATAATGAAATTGATGCGTACTCGCTACTCAGAGATTTATCAAAAGTTACGATTTGAATATTACTTGAGTAAAAATTGTATGCACATTTCGTATTGCCATACAGCTTTCAACTTTTTAATTTAACGGATAACTGTTTTGGGATTGATATAGGCATAATGGCTATACTTACGTCATCCGAATGTAAAAGACAATCCAATCGAAGCGGAAATAATGAGTAAATATGAAAAAAACAATACGGGATAAAACTTGCAGGATCACGTAACTCTCTAGGGTATAATAGACTGTTTGCCTGTGTTTGATCGCTGTGAGTATATATTTATATTTTCCTTCTTTGTAGTTTATCCCTATAAATTGCAGAGTGTCCCACTAAAATCTTTCATTTGAAAAATGAAGCCGTTTGGAGTGTGTTTTCTGTTTATTTGCTATTTGATTGTTATAATCGTAACAGGTAAGCATAACGTGTAGAACGAGTAATGTAATAATTAGTATATTATGTGGAACCTTCCAACAATGCATTATTAATATTATGCTATGATTTTTGTTTCCAAGAATCCGTCCAAGAAAAAAATGTTCAACAATACAGCGACATTTTTCTGAAAGATTTACCACGTGAGTTTTATTTGATTAGTAGGTACCGTTTAGTTTTTAAAAAAAAAAACACCAAGTAAAAAATATCAATTTATATATTTTTATAGTTTACTACTGTCGTCCTCCTCTTATCACTGATGACGGTGTCGTTGAACGAACCTGCAAAATTACATTCTCTGCAGACAGTAAGCTTATTTAGCCGTTGATAATTAGAGCGCAGATTTTTATGCACTAAGAAGTATAAAAATATGCCATATAATGTGAAGTCAATATCGTAAAAATATGCAAAAAAATTTCAATTTTTTACATCACAAATTTGTACAATATTAATATTAGTATATTTAAACACAAGCAAGAGCGATTAAGATTATATGTCAGAAAAGTTTACATCGTAATTTTATCTTTATTTCAATTACTATTTAGTGCCTACAAAATTTATTTTTTATTTTTCTACAATGAAAAAATATTATTTTATACCTTTTTTTGAATTGTCTCTTCAATATGCAATACATTTTGAGTTTCTTAAATATATGCAATTACCATTAAAAATATGCAGATCTATGTAAAAAAAAAATCGGCATTAATTTAAAACTATTACGAAACGTAATGATTACTGACAAAAATGTTAAAAGGAAAAAAAAATTTGCAATCGCATAGACATCCGCGCTCTATATACTATTAATAATAGTATAAAATTTTATACCGTAGGTATAGGTAATGTCTTTATTTCGAATCCTAATACTTTTAAACAGTCGTTTTCTTCTTTCATTCTAATTTTTACTAAGTTTTTTTCTGCTACTTCCAGTCCATACAATAGTTCCCTGAAATACTATATGGAATTTTTCTGGGGTAAAACATTTTTTTTAAATATTATTTCATGTGATACAGTACCTCAGTCTGCAAAAGCTAGAGCAAGAGCAGCCTCCAATATTATCGCGAAGAGAGGAAATCAATTTAAAAGTGAGTGGTACCGTTAGGTTTTCAATAGTTTATAAATTATATTGCTTTCATTATTTATGTTATTGTAGATTTCATGTTGGGTAAGGACACTTCCAAAGGTAAAAGTCTTTACACTATTCGGTTGAATTAATATAATATTTTATATTAAATTATAAAAAAATTATCAATTGCAGATGTGGGCAGTAGAGTTCAAAAAGGATCATATATACCAGTAAAATCGAGCGGGAAAAGAGACGATTCGACTTCGACTGCTTATGGTAAGTACTAAGTATAGGTATATATTATAACTTTCTAATTTATGTGATTTTGACGACATTTTTTGACATTCGTTCTTCAAATCCTTATAAAAAATTATTTTTATGTATCTTCAATAAAAACTTATGAGTATAATGTTGAATTCAATTTTCAATTTTTTTTGACTGATCAAAAATTATACAGTGAGTAGAAAATGATAATATAGACATTTCGTTGAAATTTAAATATTTATTGTTATTCGTTTTCAAATTACAACAAAATAAGATTGCCAATTTTATCAAATACTTAGTTTTTACGTGAGAATTCCCGTTACCCCCAACATTTTTTTCTCGCATTGATTCAGAAAAGTATTAGAAATTTTTACTTTTGACCCCTACAAGTTACCTAATGAATAGATTCACTTTCCTGCCATAAAAGATATTTGAGTTGAAAATCTAGCAGTTTTACTGATCCAAGAGGTGATGACAGATACACGGAAGAACACATCGATGCAAAACAATTCATTCATCTCTCCGTTCAGTATTTAAAATATAAACTAAACTGTACTTACATTGGGGTTTTTTCTAAAATAATAATCAATTAGATATTGAACCGATTAGAAAATAATTAGGTAGATAATAGGAATAACAGATAAAGCTACAGAAAATCTAATTTTTAAATGTCCCGATGATTGAGTTTACTAGTGTGTGTTTAATCATAACATTTCAGTTAATATACACATGGTTAGTAATATAGTTGCCTATTTCAATATATTATTATCTGGTTAGGAATATCTTTAAAAATGTCTTCATGAAAGTGTATAGTCAATAAATAAATAAAACAATTTTTTTTTTAACAACATAACATTATTATTTAACAGAGTTATTTGTAAATATTTTATAGGTATTTACACGGGACCCAGTGACATGGACATTTTTCAAAAATGGCTGTCGTCGTTTTATTTACAATAGGTTTTGGATTTTCAAAAATTGGATCTTCGTATGACATCCATCATCAACGTCATTGATTATAGATAGGCTTCTGTGTAGAAAGTTTTCTAGTCTTCTGTAGTTTCTGAAGCCTAGAACTAATAGTAAAATATGTATTAATTAATTTATATTTGAATTTAAATAAAAATAGTAAAAGAAAGCTTGTTTTTAGTTGTTTATATTATTTGGTATGAATGATATTATGATAATTTGTTTAAATTGTACCGAGTAATCTTAATAATTGATAACATCACAATTGTTTAAAAAGATGGTTAAAAATGTGTAATACTCGTATTACCAGACATTTGGTTGGTGACAAAGAACTTATGTTAGTAAAATGTTAAGTATGACATAATGCTACTTAATGTAAAGTTAATTATTTAACGACGTAATTAGCTATAAAGTTTTAGGTTTTTTGTTTTTTTGAAAAACTGTTACTTGGCTTACAAAATATTCAAGCATATTCCACTTGGTTGTTCAATAAATAAAAATATTTTGTGCCATATAAATGTACATATATAGAATTGTAGAATCAACCAAATTTCATAATTTTTTTTTTAAACGCTAGAGGGAAATATTCTACAGCCCGCATCGATCTCTGTTTTTCACTGTTTTATTCTCAAACTTTATAATATGTCTAAAAAAATACAAGATAAAAAGAATTTTTTACAAATTTTTTAATAAAATTATTTGAAATAAAATACAAAATCAGAGATCAATGCGGGCTGTAGTCTTTTTCTTTCAGATAAAAAAATAGTCATCAAAATCCGACAATTCTACAAAGCCTGAGAAGTTACTCCCGTGAAATCATTTTTTTCCAATATAATACACCTTATCAACCTCCTCCTCCCCGAAATATGTATTGGGTAGTAGATTAGTGGAAAAGTATTATAATTGAGGTGACAACTAAAATATAAAATTTTCTTAACATTTGAAAAAACTGGCACCGGGCTCTTTAATATAGGTAATTATATAAGTATCAAGTATATATATAGGTATACTTCATTTCAGATAAATTTGTGTTTATTCATTACAACTAAAAACAGATATTGTTTGTTGTAGAAAACAATGGTTTCTAGCAGGGCTTGCATTCGAAAAAATTCAGCTTTATGTTATTTACAATTAAAACGTTACACAATGATGAGGATATTGTTTTGTTTCATAGTGGTTGAAGTTCAAAAATCATTTCCAGTAGGTCATAATTTATCTACATTGCATGTGTGTTAATAATATAAAATACTCGAGCCCAATTATGAAACTATTGACGTAATAATTTGCAAGCTAAATTTAATTAAAGGTATAAAAAATAGTTACAATACATTGACTAATTCTATACGGTATACACCACGGGTAAAATATAAGGGTATACCCACTACGCATTTGTGTACATAATTATGTAATGGGTATAAAAGTTAATACGTTATAGTTAACGTTATATTATATTGTCCACTTTTATCGAATATAATGTAGGATTAACCTAGATAGTCGGTATCATCAAATTAATAAAATGTTAATTGATCATTATTAATATAATCGAACATTGTATGGCTACAGTGTTATACTGTGTCTGGCTTATTTATATTATTACAAAGAGATATTTGACACCTACCAAGAAAACATAATCTATTATTTTAATTATAACGTGATTATTTTATAAACGTATAGTTGAAGTGTGTTGTTCGCACCTTGAGTTTTACCTTTGAATCGCCTTTGTCTCTTGATTATTTTGTGGGTTTGGTGAGTGCCGTACTACTTCGCTGTAGCCTCTGGGTAGACATAATACTTGGGTTTCTGGTGGGCGCCGCAAGTGTTGGACTCCCAACGATACTGGACCTGGTTAATCGTTCCACTATACAATGTCAAAAGGCTACTTAACTACAAAATGGTCGTGTCTATTAATGTAGGACGCCAATGGAAAAAACCAAGAGTAATTAAAAATACATTTACCTAAATTAAATAAACCCTTAAATTGTTTTGATTAATGACATATAAATACCTACGTTAAGAGATTTTGCAATGAAGTTCATTGTGTTCTAGAATAAATATTTTTCTCAAATTTTAATTTTAAATTAAGTAATTCAATATAGCTATACTATAATCATAATATTATATAACAACTTTATAGTACATCATTAATTTATAGTGAAAAACTAATTAATTTTCGTTGTATTTGAAAGTAAGTATGTTTATTTTTAAAATTACTAAATTCATGCCTACAGTCAAACTTTTTCTCTTTCCTTCTCTTATTTTATATTCATGAAATTGTTTGTCTCTATGCATTTTCAAACGGATTAATACTTTATCTTCCGTTGTAAAATAATCATTTAACATAAAATCACCCATGCTACCCTGCAGATGTTTTTATTAGAATAACATATTATTTTTCTACCTACCTCACTACCCGCTTATTTTTATTTTTTTAATATTTAATGAGTCATGAATGAATTCTACAGTATACTAATATCTATTCTATTATTTTTGCACGCATTTTAAATATGTTACCTGATTTGGACCGGGTCAGGTAATAGTGAGATTCACCGTTCATTCGAATCACGTTAAGGTCAATAGACGCTTTGTCAGGGTTTCTTATGCCTCCGCAGTAGCATATGATTAACTTGAAATATGCTCGGAATCTGTTTTCAAACATTTATCGGTTATTCAACAATACGGCCACGGTTAGACGATTACTACACACCTAGGATTCATCCAATAATAAATTATCGGATTCACCATTGAATTTGACATTGCTAACCAGTAGAAGCTCAGGAACAGATCTTGCACATACGTTTTCACTACTATGCCTTTGTTGTGGTAAGCGTATACGAAATACGAGTGATAAGGCAACCAACAAATTAAAAAAATTGTCACTACTACAGCAAACATTCTCACGACCTAGAAAATCAAAGCAAACATTGGATTTATTATTGTGTCACATATTTTCCTTAAACTCCAATTAATAATGTTAGTGTTAATTTAATTGTGTTATAATATATATATATAATATATATTATATATACCCGGTCTGTTACTCTGCGACTAAAGCTTATACTTAGCTTATAGAATGATGTTTAAGCCGATTATGAAAAATGTTAAAATACAAAAAATCTAAATCGTTTATAGGTATTGTTTCTTTTAACAATGGTTTTTCATTTTCAAAATTACTACTTGTATTATTTTTCCCCACAGTAGGTTCAATGTACATACCTACGTGGATTAATAAAATACAACATCGAGTGGGGATCCTGTTGAGCTCATAAAGTTTTTTTTTTTTATTCCAGAATACAGAAATTATTGACCACAGAAAAGCATGGATTACATTTCGACCGTATCATAAAACAACTGAACCGTTCTTCCTGAAAACGCCCCAGTGCCTTCGACCGGAATCAAGTGCGTCATAATATACTTGCATCATTGATTTTTAAATCATATTTACGACCGTGGTTAACGTCTTGCACCGACCGTGATGTTACCAGGGTACACTACGTTGGGACGAATATAAGCCACATTCAATCGTAGAAACATGAGCCGATTAAAATTCACCGTCTCGGCTCAATTTAGTAGTCCATGTATCTAAAGGTTTTTTTAGAATCGGGTCGTATGTTTCGATATTAGAAAAATATCATGATGTATCAAAAATGTTCAATGTTCAATGTACTCTTGATCACAGTTAATGCAAAATTTAACCTAGAATACGTAGTGAAAAATATTGATGGTAAAACATTTTCCAATATGAATTATTTAGAACATTTATTGTTGTGATTACCCAAGGGATTTCGAGCGTACACCAATCCCAAAAATTGAAATAGGTTAAATTTTCTGCAAAAAAACTTAATCTTTGCACAATATTGGTAAATTATTAACAATTTTATTAGGTGAATAAAAAATATATTTCCTTAATTCATATTGTCAAATACAATTTTAAGTATAAAAGTTTTCTGTGCACCAAATTAAAAACGATAATAATAAAAAAATAATAGTTATATTAGAAATATAAAAGTGGAGTGTTAGGTAATGTATGTATTTATGTATAAACGTGAAAGTATCTTAACAGTTATTAATGGGTTTGTAATAAAAACATGGCAGAATACCAAAACAAAAAAAGTGATTTAGTAGCTGAATCTGAAATGTTGATCTTCACAAAAACAACGTAATTGTTTGAGGGCAACCTTTATCAGTATTTTAGGATAATAAATAAAGTTGGTAGCAACCGGGGTATGAAGGTGAAGAAATTGTGATCAATGAAAACATTGCAAACTATCATATTTTATAGTATAAAGAGTATTTATATAAAAAGTTATACACTATACGCCATAGGGTCATGATAATCAAACATTATTGTATACATTTTTATTTTATTTTCCAGATTTAAAATATATTATACCTAATGAATTATTCTTATAAAAATTAATATCGTAGGTAGGTAGGTAAGTAATTTAATAACATTTGATTTTAATCTCAACATGATTTAGGTTAGTATAGGTCTTAGATTTAATTATTTAAAATAATTTGTCAATATTATATGACTTTCTGCTTTTAACAATTCTAATTCTAATTTTCTAAAAATGGTTTTATATATTATGTTTTATCTCATATATCGATACCTTAAAGCACACAAGTTAAATGTCAACTTTTTGTAATTGTTGGTAAACACAAAAACAAGTTTTGTAGTCTGTTAAACATATTTCAAGAGTACAAATGTTCTATGTCACTTCAACGTACTTCTTATGTCACAAATGTGACATATTACATTTGTGCTCTTGAAATAAACATTAAGTGGACACTTTTCGAATATTAAAAATTAACTGAATTTTGTTAGGTTATGGACATAAAACGATTGTGGAATCGATTCTGCTGTCTATGACAAATTCATGGATACCAATATCGGCAATATCTCGATTTTCAAAAATAGTGGACATAGTACTTGTGTGCTTTATCGATATGTTCATAAACAGTTTCTTTTAGTATGAGTTTTTGAATCTATATTTTTTACTCGGAATTGTTAAAATTATAAGCTTAAAAATAACATACGCATTAAAGTTGTAGACGCCAAAATAAAAGTCTTATTTATTCTTTTGAGTGTTACATTTACAGCACTACACAGATTTACACTAACACTTGTCACTTTGACTAGAGGGTGATTTATGGTTTTGGACTTAGAATAATTGGTGATTGAATGAAGACTCTACGTCTCTACACTTTCACGATGATTGTAAAAACTTGAACCATGGCAGAAGAAAGAATTTCTTTATTCGCGTAAATCGATTGAAATTAGGAAAAAGTTCTTCAATAATTTTCTGGTTGTTAGAATAGAAATGTATAATAATTGTATAATAATAAGTGAGTTTCATCGGAGAGATGAAGTATTAACTGATTATTATTAAAGAAGTAGGTACCTAATAAAGTACAAACAAATTAAAAGGGTAATATTATGACGATCTAAAATTCTTGTATAATATAATAATATCTAATATAAATATTTTCAAAACGTAATAACAGAAAACATCGTCAAATAATATCGTCTATAATAAAAATACTATATTATTATAATTTTCTATATATTTTTTCATTATAATGTTGAATGATCACCCCCAAAATTTGTTGAGTTTAATATGTTCTGTATTATATTAGTATTCATGAATTTTAAAGATATTTCGAGTTTCATGATATTTTTTTTAATATCTAGAATAATTGTAAAAACGAAATTTTTCTATTATTTATTTCATACTTGATTATGTTCATATTTGCTTCTATAATCGACGTTTGGTATTGTAACTGTAGTTCTCACAAGGATAAGTAATTTTCTTGAAATTACAAAAAGAAGAATTATTAAGGGTCGTGTGGATGCTTAAGATTTAAGTATTGCTTAAGATGATTTTGATAATTTAAAAATAAAAAAATGTGATAATAACTAAAAGTAATGCTTAAGGTGGGTCTCGACCAACCTTAAAAACAAGTAATACTTTTTCTTTTCTTAAGCCAAAGTTTCGTTTATGAATCTTTATGCCGTATTACGTGTGTATAGATATAAAAGTGGTTAAAAAAATATAACATAGTACATTAGATATGTCGGTATAGTATAGTATGGTACTCGTATAGTATGCTAACTACTTTAAAATGCTACCTACCAAAAAACTGTTTGCCAGTAATATGCTACTTATCGTAGTTATTTTTATTTCATTTTATTGCTCGAAAGTACCCCTGACCTGAGTCATTAAGATTAATAACATATAACAGTCGTGCAATATTATAGCTAAATAGCCATTATGATTACTGATAAATATCCACCAAGACCCACAGTAAAATTACTTTTAGATATAATATTTTATGCTATGTTGTATAATATTGTTATGTTGTGTCTATGTTGTGTTCGCCTATGTGGTTTTTCATTGCAACTTGCAAATGTCTTACTTTGTACTATAATATAGTGTATAATATTATATTATAAATTTATTTTATTTTTAAAAATTACAATCAATGTGCTTTTTGTACGGGCATGTAATATCTAATATCAGTTTCGCTGTCAAAGCTTGATAGTTGCTCCAAACTAAAATATGGTGTTTTATGCGGAGGCACGTTGAAAGAACATAAAAAAATAATTGTACATAGACTCTAATGGTGATTTTTTAAAAACTATTTATTTACGGTGTTAATAAAAAGGTGGCCAAACTATTGGTATGTGTTGTAAAACTGTCAAAAGAGTTCTGGAACGACGGGTTTTTGAAGTTAAAAAAAGTGGTAAGGCAAATTGTATTAGCAATACTACAAAATGAAATATAACTAGAAACAACAGTTTTTGGGTAGGTGGTATTTAACGGTAGGTTTAAGGTAGACCATCGAACTAGCTGTAGGTAGCACACAACAAGAACACCGATATCATGTCAAAGGGGCGTATTAACATATGGAATTTGATAGAAGCTTCTGTCAAATTAATATCAACATTTTTCTTTCATTGCGATTAAGCTATATTATTGTGTTTGTGTCCAGTTTTCACTTTCTTTCATTTCAATGAATTACAAATGAAATAGGTAAACATTTTGAAATCAATTAGATAATATAGTAATAAATGTACTTTTTACTTGTATTTTAGTATTTAAGTATTGAAATCTCAAGTTTTGAATACAAAAATTCACAAAATAAATCAAAAGTTCATTCATTATCAAGAATATGGCTATCTGATTAGGGCACATTTTAATGTTTATCAACGATCAAAATGTATAAAGTACAGGTAGTTTTTAGAAAAACGGTAGTTCTGTTGTTCTGAGCTAAGAGTTTTAAAACTATTGATTACTTAAAGGCTAAAATAATCGTGTATGGGACACCTGTATCGCTTGTAAAGTGTTGTACTTTATTATTGGAAGTGTTGTATAAAGCCCGGAAAAACATTTAGTGCAGTGGCCTAAAATTTTGTTTTGGGGGGAGGGGGATTGGGTTCATTATCTCCACTTACGATTTAAAATTGTATTCAACTCTGATCCTATGAAACATCTACTTGGTAAATAGTTTTTAAAATTGTAAATTTTTTATCACTTGAGATGTTATTCGAGCAATGTACCTACAGTGTTTTTATAATGTATTAGATAAAAAAAAGTAGTTCTGCGAATGGAAAAAAAATACGGTTTTAAACATTTATTTGCAAAAAACAAGATTCTAAACAATAAAAATGTAAATCAACTTTATACATTAAATATTTTTTCCTCGAAAAACAAACGTTAGTGTTTCCTGATAACTGTGGACAATTACATAGTTGAAACTAAATTTATAAAAAAAAAATGTTTGAAACTGTCTTAACATTGAATCGATTTACATAATATAACACACAAGTGATAAAAAACTGCTCATTTACAAGGTTTGCCCTAGTTTTTTTGTTTCTATCGTCATTATACGAATTTCCAATTGATTTGTTTCCTCTCACGAATCCGATTCAATATGTTAATTAGACTATAATTTTTACAATATATTTTTTATCACTTAGCTATGGTACGTATAAATAGGTTACAATAGAACGTGTTTCAAAACAATATTACGTTGTTATCATTAAAACGGCTGCGGGTACTCACTTTTCTCTTCGATTTGATTGACTCCACGTGTCTTTGTGTCATCTGTCCAATGGTTTTGCTTCCCCATAGTTCTCTACCCATAATAGAGTAGCATACAGCCATCACGGCCAATGGTATTATATAAGTGACGCAAAGAAACAAAATGTTATATCTGTAAAATGAAAATGTGTGGTATCATTAGTGATAAATTCGTCGCATATGCAATATACGTATTTCATACACAAGTAATTGAAAAAGTGGGCCAAATATTAATTTTTAATCGAAAACTATTTTTTACTGTGTTATACTTATAAGCCCACAACACGTAATTGTACATATACCCTTTAAAGTTTAAGCTACGTGTAGTGTAGTTACCATCGATGTTGTTTTATTCGTATTTTATTTTATTTGTATTTCTTATTTTTATTTGTAAAGATTTAATATCTATTCTCTTACAAATAACATTGTACTGAATAGGAAACGGTGTCTAATTGGCAACTCACGGGGTGAGCATTCGGCTTTATAATATTTTATTTAATGAAGTCGTTTATACATGCATTATATTATTATATTCTTTACATTATATACTATTTCTACCACTTTTAAGTGATTTAGTGTCTAAATATTGTGAATCTATAATCCACTAGAAAAACGTATTTGTTAATAAAAGCGAATATTAATCGATGGAATAATTTTATTGGCTTCACTCTGCTTTAAATGTCAAATTATTTTTATGAAACACAATAGTTTAGCGTGTATATTGTATAAAATAGAAATAATAAAAACATAATATATGAATTATTCAAACATTTAATCTATTGTAAGTAATAGCGAATCAATATAGTTAGGTATTTCATTGTTTTATTCATGTGAAAAACACCATTAGGCTTTGTGTAAACATAAAGTTCTCAGCATGTACTATAAAGTATAAACATTAAAAATATATTGGGTCATTGGTTTAGATATAAATAACACTGAAGAACAGACTTAGTGATATCATATAGAATAACTACATGGTAATTAAATTTATACATTAGAAATGTAGGTAGGTATAACTAATATTGAGTTGACAAACTATATAGTTCTATCATGATATCCTATTCGTCAGATGTCAACTGAGTATGTTTTAGTTGTATAACATTAATAGTTTTGCTATAATCAATAAACTTATTTTATTATTATATTTCAAGTAGTTATGTTTAAACCTCACATTTAAAACATTTGTAAGTTTTAAATTTTTTTTGTTTTATTAATCTCCAAAACAATATTACATACTTTTAACTATTATTTAAATTTCAAAAGGTTTATCCATCTCCTTTAAACAAGCTTGTGATGGAGATAAAGAGTTATTATATTATACAATATGCAAATAATAAAGTTATTATTCTAATATTTAGCTAGTTTTTATTTTATTAGGTTTGACGTAATAAAATAATACGATTTTAAAGAATAAAAAAGTCACGAAAATCTTAGTTATAACTATTTTATTACTATAAGTCTATAAGAAAAATATTTATTTTTTTATTCAAAAGATACTTTAATGTCTAGATTTTTAGTAGATAAAATACCATGAAAAAGTTTTTTTTTTAAAGAATGATTTTATTCAGATTATAGTAAAGTAAAAGAATTTTTATATAAAATATTCGTAATAATGATCATAAACTCAATTTAGTTTAACCTATTCTATACATTTCTGATAAACATTTTTTAATGTTCCTTATCATTCTTGATTTTAATACAGTAATAGATTGTTTCCAAAAACTTTTTAAAATTAATTAAATATTCATTTTTATGTGTTATTTTGTCATAGGTACATGTAAATGTAAGTATGGATATCATTGATTGATTTCCATATTATTATCATCACGTTCGAGTTGCTCAGAACTAGTATTTATATTTTTTTGTATATTTTATTTGAAAACAGTATTAGAACATTTCGTTGAAATTAAATTTAAACAATTATCTTTTGATTGAAGGAAACTAAGTTATACCTGTTTTGTTTTAAAAATAAAGACACTGAAATATAGTGTGCTTGACATGTATTATACCTAGTCCTATCTCCTATAGTATTATTGTGTTATAATTGTACCATAGTGTATAATGTATATGTATTATAATATTATTTCGTGGTGTTATTGTGTTAAAAGTAATTGTATATGTTAATAAATTTGATATGCATCATATTGTGTGTATTAGTAGGTACTGTCTAGTGTCTATGCTTCTATATATCGTAACTTGAATATTTGTTATATTGAATTATATGTACAACATTATATTATTTACTGTGTGATATGTACACCTAGTAGATGTTTTTCGTTGGTCTAAAAGATTAAGAAGACTTTAAGTTTTCTCAAAACGTATACCCAAGGATAAATACTTCATGAACGGATTCCTACTAGCTATGTGGTTATGTGCTTAGTTGTAAAACTAAACTAGTTTTAGCTAAGTTGTATTACTTTAAAAAAAGTTTAAATATTATATTATGATATCCAAAGTGTGTGCTAAATTTACGAATGGAGATTTAACGATCTTAAGCACGAGTCTGAAATGTGCTAAAAGGCTGTATGCTGATTAATCCATTTGAAATATCTTACTATATTTTTTCATATTTAATTCGTTTCCATATTAATCATTATGCAAAGGCTGATTGGGTCTTGTTTTTATCTAGGTCCACATAATTCAGTATCTTGAACAATTTTTAGCCCTTTGTAATGTCTTAAAATGTTCCACTTATGGTTATAAAAACTAACTATATTAATCATATTATGTGAATTATAATTTTGACTCCAAACTACTAACTACTTTAATTAGATACTATTTTGTTGTCTGCCTGTTTTTCAAATAAAATAATGCACGAGAATAAAGACCTCGAAAGTGTTTTACTATTTGGTTTTTTTTTTTCATAAATTTCAAAGGACTTTCAACACAAAATGTAGCTTTGTACATATTGAATTGATACTTATGTGTTCGCTCATTAATCTTTAGTAAATAATAAATATACATCAATATTAAAAAAAAAAAAAACTAATGTTAAAATAAAACTCTTTGAATAAAATAAAATAATGCTCTAAATAGGCTTTTAATATTAGTAAAACTGATTTAAAACTATAATGTTCAATTTGTTATTTATATTCGTAAAGAAAATGCCGCTAGACAAATTAGTAGTTTTCTTTTAATTGTTTAAAAACATGTTTTGACATTTTTACAGCGGAATTCTACATTAGATATTTCAAATAAAATAGATGTTAAATTTATAATTATGTTCAATTTTTACTCGTTAGATGGCTACGATGAAGCTGAAAAATGCATTAAACTTAAAGCAATAAAAAAATGGCTACACGCTTACACCTAACTCAAAACACACGTACAACAATACAACTAATGAGTTCAATCTAACACATTTAAACCATAAATGGTTCTATTTGAATGTATTATATTATGAAGATTTGTATTGTAAGTCATGACGTGTTTCATTACAATAAGAAAGCCGCGTTGAATTGTCCATTTATCAAAGTCACGTCTGTTGTTCTGCTAAGAAAAAAAGGGTCACAGTTGTTTTTGTATATCGACCAATTTGGTTTTGAATTTTAAAACATAATTTGCTTTTGGACATGTGAAAAGATAGAATTTCCAAATTAACGTGTCATCCCTTTTCAGTATTGTCCAGTACTCGAAAACAAAACATTTGTTTGTGTCAATATGTATATACAAAGATCAAAATCACCCATATATTGGTCTTGTCACAGTATAGGTTTTAGTTTTACCCTTTTAAAAATAATACAATAGAAATAATTGATTAAATATTTTTATAAAGCAAATAAAAAAAAAATATAAAATGTAAATCGTATCAGTCAAATCTATAAAAACATTTGTGTAGGTACTTACAACAATTTCTAATGTTGTAAAATTTATTTTAACTAATTTTGAAATTTGATCTGGAGTGTTAAACTAGGTTGTAAAAAAGTTAACAATAAAATATTTTTTATGTCCAGCTAGTATAGATTACTTGGTAAAAGTTTTTAAATGTAAATACAGTTTTGGAAGTTCTAAACACAAAAATTTCGATGATGTTATAAATAAATAAATTTGAAGTAATATTAAATAACTAAATCATTGTTATTTATTTGTTTTTATGTGTTGACAATGACAACTAAACGATAATGCTATAGACAATAATATGTACTTATTGAAATATAAATTCGTTTTTTTACTTTAATATAAATACGAGAGCAGGGAAACGGTTGATTTTAAAATAACGGTTTCCCGATGTTAGTTAAAATAAAAATGCTCACTAAATATTATTAGTTTAAAATCAATACGAGATCAAGAGAACATGAAACAATGAAGTGGTAAACTACTTGCTTTCACGATAAAATAACTAAACAATTAAATTCGAGAAGAAGTGCTAGAAACCATTTAAAATGTCACCGTGTTGTAGAAAACACCCTTGGAACATTATAGATGAGATGTGGCGGCCATCTTGAGGAAATAATTTAAAAACATTAAAAGTTGTGTACTTTATCCTAATAATCTATTAATAGTAATTAATTCATTTTCATTTGTTTTTTAAATTGTATAATAATTGAACTTTGAAAATCGGACGTTTTAGTGGCTCGCTGTGTATATGACTACCTAGTCTTGCACTATATAACTTGGTATTTTTTCATGGATAATTTACATATTTCTTGTCACTATTGACCTTCTGAATGTTATTCTATAATGTCGAATGTTGTACAGAATTTTTTTTTTATCATAGAAGCATTTTAATTGCATTAAACTCTCAACGTTGCCTCAAAACAATTACTCTAACAGTCTAACCCGTGTCACTGCCTCGCGTGTGCTTTAATTATACTACGGAGGTATTAAATATTTAATCCATCGGATAAACATCGGACGTGCTTCTATGAGTAAGCAATTATTGAGGTAAATAGAATACGGACCACATATCATACCTATTCTATCATGATTTATTACACTTTGACAGTTTTACATTTCTATATTCTGTGACTTACTACAGTCATATTATATTGTATACTCTTATGAAAAACGCTCGGTCAACCGACAATGGTATTCGTGTTACTGCCGAATTTCGCGTCCTGGCAAACGGTCATACTATTACCTACAAATTTCTTACCGTATTTGGTATTTTTTCTGTACTCTACAATAAGAATTTTTTACTTCCACCAAATGGTTTTAGATTTCCCTCATTACACTCCAGTCGGAGAAATATAATGTTTCCGTCTCGACAAAGATTTTATTAAACTTTTACGTACTCCTATAATTATAGTAGGTAGGAGGTATCCGTCCGCTCTTTTAATTTTAGTTTATTGACATGATATTCTAATATTTATGACGAAAGAATTGTCATAAAACATGATCACTAAAAAATCGCAACGTATTGTAATGTATTCTGTACACACTTGATGTACATAAGATAGAACAGATCGTGCGTGGACACTGCTGTGTGTAGTATAATGGCGTTGGCGTGAGCACAACATAATAGCTCGAAATCGCATCCGATACCACTCGGCGTCGTCGATATTGTTTCAATAAAAAAAAATACTAGGGCGCGTTGAGATAATAAATCGAATGCCCACGAGTCAGTTTTGTCGGGGAGCAGCGCGACTTAAAAAAAAAAAAAACCATACCCATCCTTTTCCATTTAATTCCGTCCGGATAATGTTTCTTCCCAGCAGCCGATAAATGACGACGACGACGACGACCGTCTACCCCAACACCGTTATAGCTCGTTCGTGTCGGGTACCTCTCGGCCCACGCATTCGTTAAAATCTCATTAATATCACGTGAATCCACCGGGAACCCAGAACGAGGTGTTTGGGTGGTTATTTACTCAAAAACACGACGACGAGAGACGTATTAAAAAGACGCAGACGTGCTGCGACCAGACGGCGGTCGTTTGTCTATGTCGTCAACACCCATCACCGTCCCACACGTTTGTCATCCACTCCACTTCGTTGCAGGTGGTTCAATTGGCACCCGAAATAAATATGCATTTTTTTTTTATACAGTTTTACGGCTGACTGACGTACACCACTATCGTTTATATAATAATATACAATATATAGGTATATACTTAGCTGTGCATATTATATTAACGGTCACCACGATATTTTATTTTAATGGTTCGCTGACGCTGTGTAGGTACCCACTGATAGAGGATTTTTTTTTTCGAAATTTAACCGCGTCATACCGCGCATTGTTTGTGCTGTGGAGAAATTTTCTCACGTTTCAAAAATTAATTAAAACAACAAAGCAATATACACAAAAATATCATGGAAGTTTCAGAGAAATACATTTACCTAGCATTGAAATAAATAGCTTCTGCTGTCGAGTGGTCTGTTTGCAGCTTTTGAAAAATTAATGATTTCAAGCCACCGAATATAATTATCGGTAAAAATTATTTTAATTATCCATAATTATCATGGTTTTTAGCGTTTTTTGGAAATATGTTCAAAGCTAAAAAGTTACGACCATCAAACTTAAATATTTATCAGTGTACTACCAAATATATGTATAACATGTATAATTTATTTATAAAAATGTTTATCTTTCCTTTGTACGAATTGATAATTTTTCAAATTTCTTCAAAAGATTTAAATATCAATAATTATTTCTTTATAGTTTATGTATTTGACAAAAGTCAAAGAAAAAAATTTAATTATCAATGTACAATTAAAATAAACGAACGATAATAATGTTGCTGTGTTTGTTTTGATTTAAAATATCTGATAGGTTTACATTAATGGTATTTTGTTGTTTATGACGAGTGCTGATGTTTAAATATTAATTAACAACATTCAGTATTGTTATTGTGGTTATAATTAAAAAAAAAATGATTTATATTGGAATGAATGGAACTGGTGATTATAGCGTTGCATTTTCCTGAATTGTATCAATATTCAGCAATTTCAGTAAATCATTTTAAATGAATCCAAATTTTATCGATGGGACAGATGACTGTGCATTATATATACGACGTGATTTATTTGAATGTACTAACATGTATTCGGTTTTAGAATTCGGGTACCTTCCATCTGGCCAGAGCATATAACACGCCCTTCTTAGTTCTCCATTCATGTACCTAAAACAGGTCACAAAAAGATAGGTATTATAAAAAAACATTAAATGAAAAATGTTTATTTTATAAAACACGGATGTATGCGGTATTTGTTATGTAATACATAATGCAATAATTTAAATAGGTGAATTTTCTGGAAATGCAATAAAATATCAAACAAAAAAATACTAATTTGATATTTATTTTATTTTATTATTTATATGATGTATGTGAACAATTATTATGGTAAATACTGGTAATAGATTAATATTCAGCCAAAGGCAGTTCCAAAAATAAAAAATAATTCTGATTTATTAGAACTTCAGCACATTACACTCTAAGTGTATGGTTTGTGTATATAAACTGTTTTGAAATTCTAATGTGTACTTAAAAATATTAAATGTATGGTAATTTTTAAGAAATATAAGCAGTAAGCACACTTTAGCTAAGTATCCAGATTCCAAAATAATTACCATAGAGGTATACTTAATGCTATGAACTATGAAGGGTGATTGAATATCAGTTATAAATTATCTGTATATTATTATATTATGCCAAATATATCATACAAACTAAAAATATACTACGTGTATTTAAAATAAGTTGTGCATATGTTAAATATATTAAAATTAAATTCAAACCTTTTTGTTTTAAGGTCAGAATATAAAATGCACGGCAACGCTAGAAACACACTGATTAGCCAAATGAGAACAAGCACCGTTTGAGTTCTCGTCTTTGATCTCCTATGTCGTAGTGGATGCACAATGGCCATGTACCTGATAACAATTTTATTTAAATCAAAAACAAATCATGTAAAAATTAAATTAGTTGTATGTTATTTAAAAAAAGCACTGTCATCGAGTAAAATTATAAAACGCAATAAATAACAATAAATGAATTATACATACAATAATTTAATATTTTATTACTTAAGGACCCTAAATTTTAGTTACAAAATATTATTAAATGCATACATGATTTATAAAAAAATGTTTTGACAGATAAATTTTGAATACTTAAATTTATGTTGCATGAGTGTAAACACTAAACATACATATTCAAAAATATTCTATTTATTATTTTTCACAGAGTAGTATAACAAAAATTACCATGGCCAAAAAAGTTCTTTTAATAATTTCTATTCATCCAAAATGTCTTCATTTTTAAAACTTTTAAGCCCAATATTTTAAAATAATGTCTGAACATTTACTGCTAGAAGCAACGTCTTATGATAGTAAAACAATCGAGTAATTAGTGGCTTTTATGACAGGTTATAAATTGAAGTCAAAATTCGTTAGCATTTGTCCATTATAACCGAACTTTATTAAACTTAGCAAACTCTTCATATTGCTTAATACACTTAAAGTTGTTACGTGTAAAATCATTGAAATGTATTGTTTAACAAATAGTAATAAATGAAAAACAATTGTTTGAAGTTTAAAGTTTGATAAGATCGAATATTTTGAAAAAAAACTTTGTTAAATGCTCTAATAATTAGTTAGGTACATTTTAGTTACATTTAATTACGCTTTTAAAATATGTCCGTATTATAGGATTCATGATTGTATAATATAGTAATATTAATTATCACAATACATTGATATAGTATAATATACGAGTATCAAGGTATATATTTATTCTAGTCTTATGTATAATATTGTCAGCATTTAATCATCAGTTGATTATTTTTAGAATTAAATTTTGAAATTTTAAAATATTCTGTTAACTATTTGGTTATACCTACATACATTTTTTAGAACCTATAATTTTAACTAATCATGTAAACCAAAATAACATCTATAACTATATTTTGTGTATTGTCTTATGAATTCTTATGGAAATTCTATAACTCTATCAAAAAAGCAAACGATTATGGAAATTGCTATGGATAATATTATACTGGATATTTATGCTGTACTTATCGATCGGTATAGATTATTTCCCTACCCGACATTGACATATGACATAATATTATTTGTATTTTCTAAACACAGTAAGACCGAAAACACTAATTTATTATTTATCTCATATTGACAGTTTTTTATTATTTAAAAATATATTCACAATCTATACTACAGCCCGGTTTACAGGTATAATGAGTAAGTGCGGTGACATAAAATAACATTTTAGGAACATTAATTGTAAAGTAGGAAGGCTCCCAGCATTGCCACCTGACAAAAAATAATATTGGCAGTTAAGAAGTAAATATTTTTCGAAAATTGGATTGTCGAATCATTATCTGGATCCATCAGCAATACCATAAATTTCCGAATATTTACTGTTTTTTACAAACACTGTTGATATATAGGTACTGGGTACCCTGTGGATAAATGATTGGTTCAAATTTATTATTATTATTAGTTTTTGTACAAAAAGGAAATCGGGTAGAAAATTCAATAGAGTACCGATGAGAAACATTGTGTGAAAGGATGTTTCCACTCGGGAAGGTACCTATATAGTTCGGTGGTAAATACTGAGTTCGATAGCCTGACGTCACTTGTTCAATTGATGATCCAACGCGCGTTGTCGAATAAGCATAATCAAAAAGTTTAAAGTTATGGTGGGTCATAAAATGGTAATACGATTCTCAGAAGTGAAATAAATATGGCTCACGCGTATAACATATCATAAGTCATAACTACAATATCACCTACAACACGGATTTTAGTCGTTGCTCTCCGATAGGTTATAAGTTATGACTTTTTCCTAAATAGGTACGCGAATATATTTACGACAATTGTTTATAAAATTTTGATATACTCAGAAAAATGTACATTATTTTATACCAATAATTTACCGACCGACTCCAATGTGATCGATATATTTTGGGTTTTATTTGCTATATTTATGTAGTACGCGTGCCTATGCAATTTATTTTTTTGTTAATTTAATAATCAGTTGGTCTATAATCACGTAATAATGTAGGACAATTAGATAACATGGTTAATGAAACAGAAGAAATATATGTGTTTGCCTACGAAATCCCATATTGTAACTTTTTTAGTTTTTATACATAATATTCAAGAAATAAATTTGTAATATTTGTTCTTCTTATCGAAGACTTTACTATACATTAAAATATGTATATACCACTTAATTATAGATATTATGTGTCGATACCTACTACTTAAGTTATAATAGATATTGAAATAGTATAATAACTTTGGTGTTTTAACAATAATATCAAAAATTATTATTTATAGAAAAATACGATTGATGAAATAAAAATTATTTTTAAGCCATTGATAAAATATAATCATTATACGAAGTAATATATTTGCAAATGAGACGGAACAGATAACCGTCGTAACAGAAAACCAATAAAACCACACCAGCTGTCACACACTAACTTAAGTCATAGTTCGTTAGTGGATAAGATAGCGAGCCTTTCACACAATACGCATTCAAGTAGTAATACCTATAAATCAATAGATCGGAGATAATCAAAGAGTCTATTAAAGGGCCTTCTAGCCATTTAATCGGTCTCTTTATGCACGCTTTTCACGTTCTTGATTCTGGATTTTCTTTATTTCCTTATATCAGTCTTCTATATGAGTAGTTTATAACAAGGTTATTTATACAATATTATACAACAGAGTCATATAACGTATACCCCGATGAGTTTGAATTGTTTGTCAGTCGCTTCTCTTAAATGTTGGTTTCTTAATACTTCCTCACAAAGTGTTATATTTTGTGTATAATTCGTTTGGAGTTTAGGAGTAAGGAGTCTGGACGAATATTCTGATTATTATTCTACGATATTAACAGTCTTTTAGAATGTGTTGGTTTTTACAAAGATTTATTTTTTGTTAGTCTTAGAATCTTATCATCGTTTGCATAAATATTTAAGAGACTGAGTATTCATAAGATTTAACAAATACAAAATATAACTGTAGGAAAACGTTGTTTGCAATTAAATACATTTCATTATAGTTACCTGCAGTATCCCAAATCACTACTGCAGTATCCTTGCTATGCGGTTTCTGAAATATTTTCATTCTTATTCATAACGAATATTACTAGACGTATAGCTCTATCCAACTATGTACATAGAGTGACTTCCAAATTTTTTCTTTTTATTTTTAGCTTACATATAATATTTAAATGCATAATATATATGAACGAAATAAATGAGTCAATAACTTACTGCATAATATTATATACAAGTATAGTTTTAAGGTAGGCATATGATAATAATAGGTATGATTACAAAATACTAAATTTAACAATAAACTTAATAAATTATGAATGGGCATATTTTCAATATGATCGAGGTTACCAATTGTTTTTATACATAATCGTATTCATATTCTATTGATATAACTATAACACAATTTTTAAATAATGGTAAAACGGGGGTAGCTATTATATTTCAATAGAGAACAAATGCCTTAAAAATTCTAATACAAAACCAGAATTAGAGTGTGATGAAATATATTTTTATAACAATGACCCTTGTGTATTATGGTGCAGGGTTCAAAAAAATAAATTAAAAATTAAAAATTTTACATCATCAAGCAATAACCATCATAATATGATTATTAATATGAAATAATATTAACATAGGGATATATTAAGCTAATTAATATTAGGTATATACCAACTTTATAAAATACAACGTCCCCAAAGTAAATTGTTCCCATGAGAACACTTTATTTGGTTACCGAACTGGGAGATTTCGGATTGGTTGAAAAGTTATTGAGAACATTTTTGGCTACCAAGTAGAATATTTTAATGATAATAAGATACAGGAAAACTTTCCTATTCGAAACTTTGAAATGATAACAATAAAAGTAAATTGGCAGTTTTATAGGAACTAATTGAAATTCAAAATAGGTTTTTTCAGCAGTTTTAATCAATGCATTTTTAGTGATTTGGTAGTTCAAATTATAGCTATAGCTAATCCAACTTAAAATAAATCCTTCGAATTGATGAGAAACTGTAACTATTGCACTGAAAACTGTTATATAGAATATTTAAATATTTAATATTTACTTAAAGACCGAACAATTTTAACTAAACTAATTTTAGTGCTATTTTTCTGTTAATTGGTTATGTAGATATTTTAATTTTAAATATTAATATTCTTTTCTTAAAACAGATTATTTAATTATTTATTTTAATTTGATAATTTATAATTAGCTGCATTTTTTATAACTTATTAATAAATATTTGACGGAACCTCGTGTCTATAATTAAATTTTTATGTCTGAGTTCTAAAATTATTTCAATGAAAATAATAATACACAAAGACATAAGAACATTTCCATATTTTTATTTTGGTTAACAAAAAGAATATTGAAATCTCTGAGAACAAATTTATTTAACAAGCGCGAATATTTGATAACAAGATTTTCTTTTTTTTTAATAGGATCATTTTAATAATAATGTATATTCAGGAAAAGAAAAATAATAAACATTTTGTAATAGGTACTTATAAAAAAAAGCGGGTAAGTGGGTGTGGCTCTGCTGTATAGTAGGTTACAAGTGGGTCACTATTTAATGGATTGTATTAAATTAGAATTCAATGATATCATATCATTGTATACGAAAAACGTTTCTGAGCGTTTTGTTAATCTAGATATTTTATATTGTTATTATATTTTATTATGGACTGTATGTTGAATTAATATTATAAATGACAACAAAATAACTAAAACCCTTATTTAAACTTTTATTTTTATTCGTTTCTATGGTGATAGACAAAGGGTTAGAAATTAAAATCCCAATCTTAACGGTTTTTTGTAATTTGTCGGTGGTTTTTCCCACGACGCTA